GTGGTATTTTGGGGAACTCACTAAGCCTTGTGCTTACAGTGTTTGATGTTATTGTTTCAGGTACTAGTGACGACCGCGGGAAGGCGCCGGCTTGATCCGTACACACACACTCGGAGTTTTTACATTGTGATCTTGGGATTTTGTATTAACTTATATTGGATAATTAATATGGTTGTTTGGTGAATATTAATCGAATTATGTTTATAAGAAAATAAAAAAAAAAAAATTGTTTTGAAATTTACGGTGTTACAAATTGGTATCAGAGCCTTGGTTTGAGGGATTCGGGTACACCTTCGGGAGTATTTGAACTCAAACTGAGGAATTGGAAAGATATTTTCAAAAGAAAACCAAAATTTTCTAAGAGTAAAAGACTTTCTTGAAAAAGAAACAAATTCCAGGAAGAAACGTGTGTACGATCAGTCAGCGCCCGAACGGTGAATTCCCAAAATACCTTTATATTACGTGATATTAATATTAATATGATGTATCTGCATGCTAGAGTAGGCTAGGTATTGCTAATAGGACTAGAGTGGCCTGATTTGTGATGCCTTAGCCTAGGGAGGGGTGAGCTGCTATGAGATGCTGAGAGTGAGTAGGTAGCAGCAAGGGGTTTATGAGAGATCTATTAGAAGTGGTTACGCATGATAGAGTACTTGGGAATTGGGATCCGAAGAGGAAGGTTTGGGGTGTGTACTGAGACGGTGTGGACAGTAGTATTGGGCCCGTACTACTGAAAGCACCGGGGCAGTACACAGTCCAAATAAGAATCTTGGGATACCAAGAATCAAGGAGGGGTGGATTGTCGGTGTAAGAGTGTTCGAGTGAATTCTAATTTATCGCATGTTGTATTTCAGAGGTTGATCATGGTGAGGACACGTCATATGCCGGAGGATGCCGGAGCTAGTGATGAGGAGATTCGACAGATCATTCATGAGGAGGTGGCTGCGGTCATCAGAGCTGAGATACCAGAGATGTTCGGGTCTATTAAGACCGCCTGATTGAGACATTTGACGAGCGTTATGCCGCTCTTTCTGAGGCTGCTGTTGCAGCGGCTACCGCAGCGATCGCTGCGGCGAGACCCCAGGGAGGTGATGCGTCACTGTTTCGGGAGTTCAGCAACACCAAACCACCAGAGTTTGATGGTACACAGGATCCGGTGGCAGCTATGAGGTGGATATCTGATATGGAGGGGTGCTTCTTCACTTGCTCATCCCTGAGCATTTGAAGGTTCGGTTCGCGCTGAACCAGCTTCGCTTGGGAGCGAAGGACTGGTGGAAGTTTGTGACGGCGCATTTCACGCCTGCTGAGCTTTCGGCAGTGACCTGGGAGAGGTTCACTACCATGTTCCGAGATGAGTACGTTCCCCAGGTGGAGAGGGAGCGTTTGGCACAGGAGTTTCTGACCCTCAAGCAGGGTACTGAGTCAGTTACAGCGATCACGAGGATGTTTCATGAGAGGGCGATGTTCTGCCCTGAGCACGTGTCCACTGAGCAGGCACGTATGAGCCGCTACCTGAGCATTTTGAGACGGGATATTCGGGAGTTCGCTGCGAACTCCTCGTATCGGACATTTGCTGAGCTTCAGGCAAATGCCCGGAAGAGGGAGATTGAGCTTGAGACTCAGGCCAGGGAGGAGGCGGAGTCTCTGGGGAGGGATCGCGGCCGGCACAGCTTCAGCCGGCAGCCAAGCGGGCCAAGCCCGCTGATCCCAAACCCGGGAGCCAGAAGGGCCGCACTTGCGGGAAGTGCGGCAAGGGTCACGATGGAGTCTGTCGAGCAGGGTCTTGCTACAAATGTGGCAAGGAGGGGCATATGGCCAAGGACTGCCCCAAGGGGTTTGCAGTGTGTTTTCACTGCAACCAGACCGGACACCGGAAGGCGGAGTGTCCGCTGCTGCGTGGAGCGTCTCAGGGATCTGCTCCCGCCGCCATCAGAGCTACAGAGAGTCGGCCCGTGAAGGCCGAGGCACCGAGAGCTCGAGGGAGAGCCTTTCAGCTGACTGCGGAAGAGGTCCGCGCTGCACCCGACGTTGTGGCTGGTACGTTTCCTTTTATATATTTATTTTGGTGTTGAGATATTATGCTTATATTATGCTATGCATAGGTACCTTCCTTGTGAACTCTGTGCCTGCTTTAGTGTTATTTGACTCGGGTGCGAGTCGGTCTTTTGTATCTTTGGCCTTTAGTCAGCATATCAGTGTTAGTCGTGAGGCATTGAGTCGGCCTCTGCGGGTTTCCATAGCCGCCGACAGAGTGATTTGTGCCACGGAGGTCCTCCGGGGATGTGTGTTAGAGATTTTTGGGGTTGAGTTTCCGATCGATCTGGTTCCTATTGCGATGGGTGATGTCTGTGTCATAGTGGGCATGGACTGGTTGAGCCGATTCGGCGCGGTTATCGACTGCGAGCGTCAGCTGGTGACCATACGAGATCCTAGTGGGGGAGTTCTTTCGGTATACGGAGGGTACACGTTCTGGATCAGCCTTTTGTTCGGCCGCTAGGGCGAGGCAGTGTTTACAGCAGGGCTGTAAGGGTTTTGTGGCGTATGTGATGGATACGCGAGTGATCTCCGAGAGACCGAGTTCAGTGGATGAAGTTCCGGTGGTGCGTGAGTTTCCAGATGTTTTTCCCGAAGAATTACCAGGTGTGCCTCCCGTGAGGCAAGTGGAGTTCGGTATCGATTTGGTTCCGGGAGCCGCGCCTATCGCTAAGGTGCCTTATCGCTTGCACCTCCAGAGATGCAAGAGTTATCCTCGCAGCTTCAGGAGCTGCTGGGGAAGGGGTTTATTCGGCCGAGTAGCTCGCCGTGGGGAGCACCCATTCTGTTTGTGAAGAAGAAGGACGGCTCGCATCGAATGTGTATTGATTACCGAGAATTGAATAAGCTGACGGTCAAGAACCGTTACCCGTTGCCGAGGATCGACGATTTATTCGATCAGTTGCAGGGAGCATCTTGGTTCTCCAAGATCGATTTGAGGTCGGGCTATCATCAGGTGAGAGTGCGGGACGAGGACGTCCAGAAGACAGCATTCAGGACGCGTTATGGGCATTATGAGTTTGTGGTGATGCCTTTTGGGCTCACCAATGCCCCGGCTGTGTTCATGGACCTCATGAACAGGGTATGCAGGCCGATGTTGGATCGGTCGGTGATTGTGTTTATCGATGATATTCTGGTATATTCGAGATCTAGAGAGCAACATGAGGAGCATTTGAGGGAGTTCTTGGAGTTTTGAGATCGGAGAAACTTTATGCAAAGTTTTCCAAGTGCGATTTCTGGTTGCGGGAGGTCCAGTTTCTGGGGCACCTCGTTAATCAGAAAGGGATATTGGTCGATCCGGCCAAGGTTGACGCGGTGATGAGGTGGGAGGTGCCAAAGTCACCTCTGAGATCAGGAGCTTCCTTGGGTTGGCAGGGTACTATCGGAGGTTTATCAAGGATTTCTCCAAGATTGCAGTGCCACTCACCAGATTGACCCGGAAGGGTGTTACATTTTTATGGGGTCCCGAGCAGCAGACCTCCTTTGAGACGCTTCGCCAAAGGTTGTGCGAAGCTCCGGTATTAGCTCTTCCGGAAGGGATGGAAGATTTTGTGGTATTCTGTGATGCATCGATTTTAGGGCTGGGAGCGGTGCTGATGCAGAAGGGACATGTGATAGCATATGCATCGAGGCAGTTGAAGCCTCATGAGACGAGATATCCCACACATGATTTAGAGTTGGGGGCAGTGGTGTTCGCTCTCAAGATTTGGCGGCACTACTTGTATGGGGTTCGTTGTACGATATACACGGACCATAAGAGCTTGAAGTACTTGATGGATCAGCCTAACCTAAATATGCGGCAGAGGAGGTGGTTAGATGTAGTCAAGGATTATGATTGCGAGATCTTGTACCACCCGGGCAAGGCTAATGTGGTAGCCGACGCATTGAGTCGCAGGGCGGAGAGTACTCCACTGCGAAATGTATGTTTGAGATTGACCGTGATAGCTCCAGTTCTGGACGCCATTCGTGGGGCACAGGCCGAGGCTGTGCATCCGGAGATGCAGAAGAGAGAACGGGTCGTTGGTTTGGTTTCTGAGTTTGTGTCGGATAGTCGAGGGCTTATGACTTTTCAGGGCCGGATTTGGGTACCGTTTGTGGGCGGTACGCGTACTACATTGATGGAGGAAGCTCATAGATCGAAATTTTCGATCCATCCCGGGGCTACAAAAATGTATTTGGATTTGAGGAAAGAGTATTGGTGGCCTTGTATGAAGAGGGACGTCGCATGGTTTGTCGAGAGGTGTTTGACCTGTCGAAGGGTGAAGGCCGAGCACCAGAGACCGCATGGCAAGTTGCAGCCATTGGAGGTTCCCGAGTGGAAGTGGGAACAGATCACTATGGATTTCATCACCAAATTGCCGAGGACTGCCAGAGGAGTTGATGCAATTTGGGTGATTGTGGATAGGTTGACGAAGAGCGCTCACTTTCTTGCCATCAGTGAGAGTTCTTCGGCGGAGAAGTTGGCGGAGGTTTATGTGAGAGAAGTAGTATCTCGGCATGGGGTGCCGATCTCGATTGTTTCGGACCGTGATGTGCGCTTCACTTCCCGATTCTGGAAGAAATTTCATGAGGAGTTGGGTACTAAGCTGCATTTTAGTACCGCATATCACCCCCAGACAGACGGCCAGAGTGAGCGGACGATTCAGACGCTTGAGGACATGCTTCGAGCATGTGTATTGGATTTTGGGGGTAGCTGGGATACGTATTTACCCTTGGCAGAG